TGTCAAAAGTTATTTTTCTGACTGGAAAAGGCTCAATCACAGAATGGTTTAATTTGATAAATTATGTTTGATTATAATTTTTAATTTGGCATTAGTATTTACATCACAATCTGAAATCCTATCATAAATCCCTGAGGTTTAGGAACCTTGGGTTACAGCATGTTAATTATTATTATTATTATTATTATTATTATTATTATTATTAAATATCAAAATTTGACCTACCAGTACAATGTTAACATTTTTGCTGTCTTAATATGCAACAAATAAATAAATGAGTAAGTTTGAATTGCAATTACAATACATGACCAAATACTTGCAATTAGACTTTTTGGTGAAATTGTGCTGCCCAAATTAGCTTAAATTCTGTTGAATGTTGGAAATGTTAAATAAAAGCTATTTTTGAAACCGGAGGCTCTATCACAGAATGGTTTAAATTTATATTTACTTATAACATTTCTTTAGGTTTAATGTGGCATTAGTATTTCTTAGTATGTAGTATATCACGATCATTTTTTTCCCTATCAGTCAATATCGATAATTATCACGATAAATGTCAAATCTTTATTTCTTTCATGTTTAAGGCCAAATTTTTGCTCCAAAGTGAAAGTTGTAGAAACCAGACCATTTGTTAATTTTCCTTAACATAATAAATATCTTCGTTTCTGCATGTGACATTGTTTCAAATCAAGAAACAGGTTTGTGTTGCTGCCTGATAATATTAATAATAATATTACTATTTTTGTCTCTAAGAAATGCACATTTGATAGTAGTAGCAGGATGCAGATGTGAATTTTGGTTCATTATCAAAATCAGTAACATCTGTAAAAATTGTAGCAACCTCATTTATATAGTGATTTTTTTTTTAAATCATTGGTCCATAGTAGCATACATTTAAATCATGATAAACACAGTTAAGACCACACATATAGCATACCATGGTAAAAATATAACTCTATGGTTTTTAGGTATTTGTATGAAAAACAGTAGTCTTCATGTGAAGCTTATGTTCTGCTCACCTGGTGTGGATAAGCGTCTCCAGATCCCATGAGCCTCTTGTTCTGGTCAAACAGGAGCCAGAGCTGACTGTCAAACTCAGACTCGTATAATAACTCACACAGCAGCGGACAGCTAGGCGTCACCTCGCCACTCTTGGGCTGGAAAAACAACACCAATAACTCAATAAGAATCAATAAATGTGACCCCAGCGACTTAAGACTGCTTTTGTGCTCCAGGGTCACAAATCAACCATGCAAACACTGTAAACTAATATTATTCATTAATAAAAACCGCAAAGACGCAGTTATCATCACACTCACCTGATGGAAATTATAAGTGAGGACGATCTCATAGAGCTGTCTGTTGTTGGGTAACACATCTCTGGCGCCGAGGGGTTTTATTTTAGCACTTACAGGCCTGTCGAGGAGAATCGTGCATATTTCATGAACACTTATAAAGTATTTAAACACAAGGTTTCTGAAGCGTTCCTCTGGGAGCTCTTCATCTTCTGAAGGTGCTTTATGATCAAAGAGTCATATCCTACAACCCAGTCCCCACTTAAACTGTATTTATGGGCTTCACTGAACATCCTTCCGACAGTAAACGCGAGTATATACACTAGATCAGGACGATATGATGCTTAAAATAGCTTTAGGATGCTTTTTTTTTGCAATGCATTTAACTGGTGATCTGTGAGGTGTGTGTGTTTACCGGAGAGGCTGAACCCAGTTCTTCAGTGTGATTGTTGGGGAAACGTCTTCATATCTCAGCGGAGAACAAACCTGAAAACTAGAAATCCCTTCAGAGGCGTGCTAGACACAGAAACACACGAAACAAGAGCCATTAATTATATATTAAAACAATAAAACTAACTGACAGAAAGAATAAAAAATTTGGGGTTGGTAAGATTTTTTTAAATGTGTTTGAAAGAAGTCTCTTCTGCGCACCGAGGCTGCATTTATTTGATCAAAAATACAGTAAAAATTGTGAAATATTATTAATGTAAAACAGCTGTTTTCTATGTGAATATCTGTTAAACTGTAATGTATTTCTGTGATGCGCAGCTGTATTTTCAGCATCATTACTCCAGTCTTCAGTGTCACATGATCTTCAGAAATCATTCTAATATGCTGATTTGCTGCTCAAGAAACATTTCTGATTATTATCAATGTTGAAAAC